TTTGCATGAAGCTGGATGACAGCATGTCCAGGAGACTACAGGCTGTCATTAAGGCTAAGGGTTGCCCGGCTAAGTATTGATAGTTGTGTAAATACTGTCATAGCTGTCTAATTTTTGGTTGATTGTAATCTATTACATACCTTTCTATCAAAGTTATCTAACATTATCAAGCTGAATTTGTTCTGACAGTTTAACTCTGAGTTCTTGTCATATTTTATTACCATTTTCTAAACTATAGCGAATAAACTGTGATAATGTGAGAAATGTTGAAGGTGTCTGATTAAACGTTGGTTTGACTGTATCTATTTGATAAATGAAGTTAACCAACTAACATTATACATACTCTTTTGGTTTCTGTACCCAATATTTAAACATTTTACAAATGCAATGAAAATATTGGTATCGGTACTCTGTATCGGCAAGTACCAAAAGTAAAAGTATCGATATCGGGCGAGTACTGGAATCGGTGCATCCCCAATTTTTATCATTATAGGGTGGTTGTGTACACACAATGCCAACACACATTTCAGTTCAAACAACTTGTAAAAGTGCACATAGCATCCTATGACCCCTTTAAATAATGTTTGATGTTTAACAAGTTGTGCAAGGAGTGACTTATTAAACATATAATCAAAGCCAGCATGAGAATATGCATTTTGAGTCAACAACAAAACAGCAGCAGCAGGGAAAAAAAGCTTTTTTATGAGGATACAGCCAAGCTTTAACATGTTTTAAGTGATAAAAGGTATTTTACATAAGCTAGACTTACTCTTCAGTGAATCATTTCATTTGGTTTGGGAGGAAAAACACCAACAACAGTTTGTTAGGCTGATGCAGCTGAGATAGAGATAGAGATAGAGCAAGCATATTTGCACGTTATCCTGTGGTTTGTTGCACTGAATCAGCATAACCATACTTTAGGGCTGGCCTCTCTGAACACAGCGTTTAAAACCACTGCACGGTTGCTGGGGATTATTTTTTTCCATCTCTGTCAGTTTGCAACAGGATTTAATTTCTGTTACAGGCACACACACTGTAGTGCACATTTCTAACTAAGTTTGAGCCATATTGGCTTAAGCACACATAGCTTGTTTATGGCACCCCGGTAGACATTACTAAACCACTAGTTAGTAGATACACATATGTTAAGCCACTAGATTTTATTTATCTAATCAAGCAAACAGAGGCTTGTACCACGATGGTGGCTGAACAAACTCAGTTACAGGTTTAGTTTTGAGTTGACAAAACCAAACCAATCCAATTCGGCTTTGTTAGTACCATGACGATGATCATCAGCTGTCAACTCAGGCTTTGATGCTGAGTTTATGGAGCAGGTGCGCATTAAAGTGTGACATTAATGAACAGTTAATCTCATGCCATTAAACTGTGATTCTGTGATGTAGGCATGTTTAAAGCTTTATCTATCTGCATCCAATGTCCCCTTTAAATTTTGGTTCGTTTGAAGAGTGTGTCATTTTCAGTGGACCCACTGGGTGGTGCATTTGATACATGTTTTTACAGTGATATTTTTAGGGCCAAGCAAGCACTATACACACAGAACATGAAAATTCACATAGTTTTATAAAAATAAAAATAAAAGCCTTTAGCAATTTTTAATGTCATATTGTTTAATTATATATAAAAAAAAAACATTACAGAAAAATACACGCAAATTACACTGAATTTGTATTTCTTATTCTTCTCAGTATCTTAATATCCTTCATTTGTGGAAAAGCCCTGATTATATTTAAACAAAACATTATACGTCTTTATTTTGAATATAAGCAAAAAGGGCCAGAAGTGAATATTTTTCACATTATTTAACATTTATTTCAGAACTCAAGAGTTCAGTATCTTCTGGACAACATCTATGGAGGCTTTAATGAAAATAGCGTTGTCTCTAATATAGTTCCTTTTCTTCATCTCCTCATGGGAGATGAACTTTGGGTAGCCGAAGCCCAGCATGCTCTCATCCAGACAGCCCCCACGAACACTTCCCAGAGCTCCAGGCCGTGGTCTCTGGAAGTTCTTCCAGGTGGGATCTGGGCTGAAGGTCTCTGTGACGTGCTGAGGTTTGGTGAGCGCCGGGACACTCTGATCCAAGAGCGAGAAGGACACGCGGTAAGGGAAAGGCCACTCCAGCAGCCCGTCATACTCTCCTGGTAGAACACGAATGTAGATTGACAAGTGAGAGCCCTCGCCACTGCCGTTCCCATTGGGAAAGGCGGACACTTGCAGACGGTAACCATAGTTATGGGAATGGAAGGCGGGACTAAACAATTCCAAACTCCCAGAAGTCCTGCTATTAGCTTCCTGTAGCCGTTGGCTGAAGTCCGTGAGCTTCCAGAGCAGCGTGCCATCTCGACTTCCAGAGAGTTCTTCCGCTGCACGCCGGAGTTCCCTGAGCTCCAGCCTCTGGCGATTCACCAGACCACCGAGAAGAGAGAGGTGGGTGTGCGTGGCCTCCTCAAGGTGTCGTCCCACTGCAGTCTTGGGGCACTATGAGTGGAACAGACAGAAAGATGTCATAAAAGAAAAGGTCATGATACTGTGCTGGATATTCTGATCGTCACGTATCTGTGCCTTGCCATTCCGCCCACTCACCACCAGAGGTCGCCACACACTACATGGACTTTCGCACTGCACAGACTGTCACACGTTACCCTGGACTCCATTTCCCACAATACACTTCACACAGAATTAATCACACACCCACAAATGTTTCCCATCAGGAACCCTTTATAAGCTGAACACTTCCTCTCATCTAAATCAGTGACAGCAGCGTTACGGAGCCAGTTCTAGTGCTCATAGTTTAGTTATAGTATTGTCTTGCTTGATTCCCTGTGTCTAGATTCTTGACTGTGTTTATTGGATTATTCTTTCATCTTGCCGTTCAGACTCTGTTTGCCATGGTTTGCCCCTGTCTGGACTATTGCCTGTGTACTTGGTGTTTGGATATTGTTTTGCCAGAGATCAACTACGCCTGCTTGTTGGACTACTCTTTGTCTTGTCTAGAATATGCCTGTTTGTCACTGCCTGACCCTTGCCTGCTTATGACCACTAACGTTAATAAAGCTATGCAGATGGATCCGCATGTCTCTCGTCTCGTTCACTCCGTAACACTGTTATTCATGTCCTATTTTTAAAAAGTGTAGGTTTTTTTCTTTTGTTACATTTTTTCTCTATAGAGTGCAATGACGCTCACCCACTTTTTCAGCAGCCTTGGTTCCAGAAACATCTTTTCAGTCATTTTTCCCATAGGGATTTTTAAAAATCTTTGTTAACATGTCATGAACCAAACCAGCCAGATATGAGATGAATTTCTTTTATACTAACTTAGCTTTTTTGGAGCAAGTCTGAGCTCTTAATAATATGTTCATTAAACACACATACACACACACATATCTCTGTGTTTATGCGGTTTAAGGTTAAAAAAACATTATTTTCCACATACTGTACATTATTGTTTCTCCTCTATGCCCCGCCTTTCTGAAATGCGTCGATTTTTACAAAGCTCATCGGTCTGAAAAGCGAGGTGTGTTCTGATTGGCCAGCTATCCAGTGCGTTGTGATTGGCTGAATACCTCAAGCGTGTGACGGATGTGTTACGCCCCTACCATACTGTGATGCCCTGTCCGCCCGAAGCGACGAGACAAAAACATTAAAACCCATTATAAATGAGGCATTTGTTGCATCCAGTGGGGACATAATTACGGATTATAATGACTTACATCACGCCGCGTAAACAAAACCATGTCTGCATTTGTGATTGGAGAAACGACAAACAACAAGTGCTACTCTACACTGCCCAAAACTCGCGTTTGAATCGTCAGTGGCAAATCCTTTAAATATGAATACGTACTTACAGTCTGTGAGTCAGAACATTGTAATCATATTCTCCGAGGATCAGGAAACAGTCCTCTATAAAATGTTCTGCACACATCTGAATATTTGGGTTGAACTGTTCTGGAACCATGTTGTAAATACAACTTAGCCACTGATTTCTAGTCGTGTCCTCTTTTGGAAGACCAAACAAAGTAGTTTCGCAGTGAAACACACAGCGTCACACACGGCGGGCTTGAGTGAGGAACAGCCGGCAGGCTTGAGTGAGCGGAGGCCGGCTTGAGTGAGCGGCGGCGGGCGGGCTTGAGAACGGCACGGCCGGCGGATTCAACGAAGGAGCATCCGGCAGGCTTGCGGCAACCATATGTGACGACCCCGGGCTGGACTCCGCTTCGTCCACGGTGAAAGCCGATCCGGCGATCCACAGCACAAAGTTGATGTATTTCCTCAGAATATCTCTTTGGATTTGAGACTTTAGTCTTTGCAACTTTACAGATGTTCTTTATGCAACAAGAGCTTGTAACACTCCAAAGAGAAAGGAAAAATTTAAATCGCATCATATGACCCCTTTAAAAAAGTAATAATTGGCAGACAGTACCAAACCTGGCCATTAGGTGCCACTACCAGAAATCATGATACACAAAGCTTACAATGTGGCAGAATGTCAGTGCGATACGTTATCTATTTATAGTTAATAATACAGTTACAAAAATATTTTACAAAGAAAAAATTGCTTCAACTATTACTTTAAAAATCGTTTTATATTTTATATATTATTATTTTTTTTTTTAGTGTTTTATTTTTAACTAGTTGGGGTGTAACAATACAATGTCAAAATATAGTTAAAATGGGAAGGTTTTTTATTTTTTATCTTTTTTTTTTTTTAATGATTACTTCTAAAACTTATGAAAACCAGTTAATAAAAAGTACTGTTCATTAACATGCTAAATTTGGCATTCTATCAGAGGTTAACTTTAATAGGCTTGTATTTGGTGCTGGTCTTCAATCCACAGGGCAATGGTGACACCAGAACAGAAATATTTATGATTCTGTTTAGCTAAAAATACACAATTACGTTTGACACATATGCTTGCAGTCTTGTGCTTAACTACATACGTTTAAAAAGTTTTAAATGTAATTTATTAAATAATGTATTTTATTTAAAATTTATTGATAATAATTAATAAACATGAAAACTCAAATGTGTGACCATCTGGGTTTACCATATTTGATGTTAAATTAAATTAGTCAAAATTAAAAAAAAAAATATATATATTATATATTTTTTTTATTTAAAAATTAA